GGGGGGGGTGGGGGGGTGTCGGTGGGGGCCCCCCCCCGCCCCGGGGTGCGGAGGTAGTGCCGGCTCTCGGGCTCCTTCGGTAGCGTTTGGGGTCAGGTGTGGGGTGCGGAGGGGTCCCGGGCCAGGCTCGGGCGGTGCCGCAGGCTCTTCTCCTCCTCCTGGGGAGAGACCGGGACATGTTGGGGACACTGGGACGGGGACACGGCGCAGCACCCATGGGCTCCAGGCTGTCACCAAGCCCGCAGGGAGCCGGGGGACACTGGGACACTGGGACACAGTGCAGCACCCATGGGCTCCAGGCTGTCACCAAGCCCGCAGGGAGCTGGGGGACACTGGGACAGGGACATGCACCCATGGGCTCCAGGCTGTCACCAAGCCCACAGGGAGCAGGGGGACACTGGGACACTGGGACACGGCACAGCACCCATGGGCTCCAGGCTGTCACCAAGCCCACAGGGAGCAGGGGGACACTGGGACACTGGGACACGGCACAGCACCCATGGGCTCCAGGCTGTCACCAAGCCCACAGGGAGCAGGGGGACACTGGGACACTGGGACACGGCACAGCACCCATGGGCTCCAGGCTGTCACCAAGCCCACAGGGAGCAGGGGGACACTGGGACACTGGGACACGGCACAGCACCCATGGGCTCCAGGCTGTGCCTGAGCCTGCAGGGAGCTGGGGGACACTGGGACAGGGACATGGTGCAGCACCCATGGGCTCCAGGCTGTCACCAAGCCTGCAGGGAGCTGGGGGACACTGGGACATGGCACAGCACCCATGGGCTCCAGGCTGTCACCAAGCCCACAGGGAGCAGGGGGACACTGGGACACTGGGACACGGCACAGCACCCATGGGCTCCAGGCTGTCACCAAGCCCACAGGGAGCAGGGGGACACTGGGACACTGGGACACGGCACAGCACCCATGGGCTCCAGGCTGTCACCAAGCCCGCAGGGAGCCGGGGGACACTGGGACACGGTGCAGCACCCGTGGGCTCCAGGCTGCCCCGAGCCCATTTTGGAGGGTGTCCATGGCCAGGAGCCGGATCTGCCCCAGGAACACCCCGTGCACAAGATCAGGGCACCCTTAGGAGCCCCCAAACCCAGGGGCACCCCGTTTTGGAGGGTCTCCATGGCCACATACCCCCATGCACAGGATCAGGGGCACCCTTGGGAGCTCCCAAACCCCATTTTGGAGGGTCTTCACAACCAGGGGCAGGATCTGCCCCACGTGCCCCCCATGCATGGGGTCAGGGCGCCCTTGGGAGCCCCCAAACCCAGGGGCCCCCCATTTCGGAGGGTCTCCACAGCCAGGGGGCACTCACAGCCTCCAAGGCGCCGGCGGTGGCCCACTCGGAAGGGGCGAACACGTCCTCCTCGCCCCGCGCTGGCTCCGGCCCCTCGTCCTCGTTCTCGGTGAGGTAGTCGGACTCCTCTGGGGGAGCAAAAGGGGGGTGCAGGGTCAGGACCCGGATCCGGATCCGGCCCCGCAGGGCTCGATGCGGGACACGATCTCCGCCAGGTCGGTGAAGCCGGCGCTGGGGCACGTGAGCACCTACGGGAGGAAAAGCGGGGGGGCCCCCCCGAGCAGGCCCCCCGTGTGCGAGACGGGTGAGGATGGAGGGGGCAGGAGGAGGGACGTGAGCTGGTCAGGGCAGCAGGGGACACAGAGGGACAAAAGGAGGCCGGGGTGACAGGAGATGGACCAAGGGGACAGGATGGACCAAGGAGGGGACAGGAGATGGACCAAAGGGACAAAGGATGATGGGGAGGGGGACAGGAGATGGACCAAGGAGGGGACAAGGATGCTGGGAGGGGACAGGAGATGGATCGAGGGGACAGGAGGATAGCCAAGGAGGGGACACGAGGATGCTGGGGGAGACAGGAGATGGACCAAGGGGACAAAAGGATGATGGGGAGGGGGACAGGAGATGGACCAAGGAGGGGACAAGGATGCTGGGGGGGGGACAGGAGATGGATCGAGGGGACAGGAGGATAGCCAAGGAGGGGACACGAGGATGCTGGGGGAGACAGGAGGTGGACAAAGGCACATGAGGATGGACCAAGGAGGGGACAGGAGGATGCCGGGGGGACAAGAGGATGGACCAAGGGGACCACGGTAGGGGCGGAAAGGAGATGGACCAAGGGGACAAGAGGCTGGACCAAGGAGGGGACATGCGGATTTGAGGGGACAGGAGGATGGACCAAGGGGACAGGAAGATGAAGCGGGGTGGCGGGGCACGGGAAGATGCCGGTGAGGGACAGGAGGACACTAGGGGGGACAAGTTGCACCAGGAGGGCTAGAAGGACATTGGAGAGACAGAGGGGACAAGGGACAGGCAGGTTGCTGCTCCCTGCAGACGGCTCCAGGGCCAGGGGAAAAAAAAAACCACCCTTAAAATCAGGGTGCCAGGGCGAGGGTGGCCCATCCCAGGATGCCCTGAGGTGGGTCCCTGGGCAGCCACCGCCACCCACGAGCCTCGGTGCCACCCCCCTGCTCACGTCCATGCGTTTGCTCTCATAGAAGTCGGCCGAACGCCGGTCCTTCACCATCTTCTCAATGATGTCACCCCGGCTCCAGCCATCGAAGACCACCTTGCCGTGCTGGTACCCCACGTCCTGCAGAGAGAGCAGCCGCAGCCCATCGGTGGCCCGGGCACCCCAAACAATGGCCTGGGGCACCCCGAATGACAGCCCGGGCACCCAACTGATGGGTAGGACATCCCAACTGATGGCCCAGGACACCCGATTGATGGCTGGGGCACCCAACTGATGGCCAGGGTCCCCCAAATGATGACTGGGATGCTCAACCTAGTCAGGACACCCCAAACGATGGCCAAGAGTACCCTATTGATGGCTGGGGCACCCAACCAATGGCTTGGGCACCCCGACCAATGGCCCGGACAGCCCAACTGATGGTCGGGGAGCCCCAAATGATGACCTGGGTACCCGGAACAATGGCCCGGACACCCCAAATAATGGCCAGGACATGGCAATTGATGGCCCAAGCACCCTGAACAACGGCTCGGGCACCCCCAGATGATGGTCCAGTCACTCCGTTAATGGCTGGGGCACCTGAATGATGGCTTGAGCACCCAACTGATGGCCCGTGCACCCCACCAATGGCCAGGACACTCCAACCGATGGACCAGAGCACCCCCAAATGGTGGCTGAGGCACCCAATCAATTGCTGGGTGACCTACCTGATGGCCTGGACACCCAACTGGTGGCAAGGGCACCCCAATCCACATCTGGGGCACCCCATTAGCAGCTAGGGCACCCTGTTAATGGCCAGGGCACCCCAATCAATGGCCAGGACACCCCAACTGATGGCTGGAGAACCCCAACCCATGCCTTGGGGCACGCCATTGATGGCCAGAGGCACCCTAAACGATGTTCCAGGCCACCCCATCGGCCTCTCCGTCCCCCAACTCACGTAGATCTCGTCGAACTTGCCGAAATCCATGGTCTTGAAGCGGTCGATGGCGGGGCGGATGTACTCGCAGTACGAGCTGGACTTCACCACCTCCAGCTGCCGCACGCACGACACGTAGGCCAGGCGGGACTGGATCTCCGCCATGTCGGGCACCTGCAAGGACGAGGTGTTCAGCACCCTGCCTGCACCATCTCACCAGCATCCCCGCCTCCCACCGGTCCTCACCTTGACTTTTTCAGCCCAGGGGTTGAGACGTTTCCAGAGGAGCCACCAGCCAGACAGGCTGTCCCCGTAGTTGCACAGGTCCGTCTCGTCCTGGCTGCCCACGTCGATGGCGATCACCGTCTTGGCACCCATGTTGCGGGCGATGTCGGCTGCGGGGTGGGAAAGGCAGAAGTTGGGTCGGCAGCATCGCGGTTTCCCCCGGTCCGAGCCCGCAATGAGAGGTGGTGGCACGAGTGGAGCAGGAAAATGGGGGCGAGGGATTGTCCCCGAGCCCAGGCTGGATGGCTAAAGCCATGCTAGGGCTCGTGGTGGGACGAGCAGCGTCCCATGGGTGCCGGAGCTGGGGCAGGAGCCCAGCAGCAGGATGTGCCGGTGGGGAGCAGAGCAGCGATGCAACCTGGTGCACGCGCTGGGGTGACGGGAGGGCACAGGCAAGTTGCAGCATCTGTGGTGGGATGCGAAGGAGCATGGAGACGCCCCAGGAGGACACCCGGTGGTGAGGACACCGGGAGATGATGTGAGGTGGATGGAGACGGCTTGCACATGGAGGAGGATGGAGGATGGAGATGCCCCAGGAGGGCATCTGGTGCTGAGGACATCAAGAGATGATGATGCAACATGGAGGAAGGTGGTTTGCATGTGGAGGAGGATGAAGATGCTCCAGGAGCCTGGCGCTAAGGACACCAAAAGACGATGCATGCAAAGGGAGATGAAGAGGCTGCAGGAGGGCACCCAGTGCTGAGGACACGAGAGACGATGATGCAGGATGGAGGAAGGTGGCTTGGAAGTGAAGGAGCACAAAGATGCCGCGGGAGGCCACCCAATACCAAGGACACCGAAAGATGGTGCAGGATGGAGGAAGGTCACTTGAATGTGAAGGAGGATGGAGACGTCCTGGGAGGGCACCCGGTGCCAAGGACACCAGGAGACGACACAGAATGGAGGGAGGTGGGAGCATGGAGATGTTCTGGGAGGGTACCTGGCATCAAGGACACCAAGAGATGGTTTGAGACGGAGGGAGGTGCCGTGCACGTGAAGGAGCATGGAGGGTGCCTGGTGTCAAAGGCACCAAGAGATAGTTTGAGATGACAGGAGGTGCTTTGCACATGAACGAGGATGGAGATGCCCCAGGAGGCAACCCGGTGCTGAGGGCACCAGGAGAAGATGAGGCAGGACGGACAAAGGTGGCTTGCACATGAAGGTGCATGAAGGTGCCCCAGGAAGGCACCCAGGGCCACCAAGAGATGGTATGAGACAGAGGGAGGTGGCTTGCCTGTGAAAGAACACGGCGGGCACCTGGTGTCAAAGGCACCAAGAGCTGGTACAAGACAGATGAAGGTGTCTTGTAAGTGAAGGAGGACGGAGAGGCCCGAGGAGGGCACCTGGAGCTGAGAACATCAAGAGAGGACGATGTGAGATGGACAAAGGTGGCTTGCACATGATGAAGCACGAAGATGCCCCAAGAGGACACTCGATGCTGAGGACACCAAAAGATGGTGCAGGATGGAGGGAGGTGGCTTGTACCTGCAGGAGGACAGAGACGCCCTGGCAGAACACCCAATGCCGAGGACACCAGGAGAGGATGATGCAGGATGGAGGAAGGTGGTTGGTATATAAGGAGCATGGAGATGCTCTAGGAGGGCACCCAGTGCTGAGGACACCAAGAGATGATGCAAGACGGAGGGATATTTTTCGCGTGTGAAGAAGGATGACCTGGGAAGCCACCTGGTGCCGATGACACCAAGAGACGACGCAAGACTGTGCGACTTTTTTTGGCACGTGAAGGAGGACGAAGATGCCCCGAGAGGACGCCCAACACCAAAGACACCAAGAGATGATGCAAGATGAAGGGATGCATCTTGCATGTGAAGAAATATGAAGACGCCCTGGGTACTGAGGACACCAAGAGGTGACGCAAGATGGATGAACACTTTTTGCATGTCAAAGAGGATGAAGACACCCCGAGAGGACGCCCGACAACGAAGACACCAAGAAGATGCAAAACCAAGCAAGATGTCCCAAATCCAACCTTAACGTCTCCATCCATTGAGGTCCCATCTCGTGGTGGCCATGCAGCCCCCACCCAACCGCCCGCCACCGCCCTCGGGGCCAGACCTGGCGCCGCATTGGCTGCCGCCCCGGTTGGGCGGTGACGGCGACGGCGTTGAGCTGCTACTTGCCTGGCAGGTTGTTGATGTAACCACCGTCCATCAGTAAGTTGCCGTCCTTGGGGTCGCAGAGTGGCGGTAGGTACCCAGAAAGGGTCATGCTGGCTCGCACGTACCGCCAGAGCGAGCCTGCGCCGGCGGGAACAAACGCAATGAGCACGGCCCGCCCGAGACCGCCCCCCCCGGGGGGCTGCCCCTCGCCCCTGCCCGCGCCCGGGGACATCTGCACCCCGCGGGTGCCCGTTGGGCACCCACGGGTGGCAGAGGAACCTGTTGCGCGCCCTGACCGGCCGTTTGCAAAGCCCAGGTGGCTCAACTTGGGATGGGACGTGGTTTTGGGGGGTGGGTAGGGGGGGTGTCTTTTTTTTGGGAGGCCGGTGGCCCCGGCGAGCGAGATGCTGACCTGGGACATTGTTAACATAGCAGCCGTCCACGAGCCAGTGGCTGTCCTTGGGGTCGCAGAGCGGAGGCAGGTAGGGGGTATAAGACGCACTGGCTCGGACGTAGCGCCAAAGGCTGCCTGCCGGAGGGAGAGGACACGGTCACGGCCACGGGGGGACGGGCCATGCCCGAGCACCCGGTGGCGGGTGACTGAGGATGCTGGCACCGCGCCGGTGGGATGTTTGTAGCCCCAAGACCGAGCCACCGGGATGGGGAAGGATGGACGGGCGAGATGCTCGCCGGAGGGTTAGGGGTGGTGAGCAGGGATTAGTTGGCGTTAGAGGCCAAAGGAGCAGGCAGAGCGAGAGCCAGGCTGCTTACGAGCCACCGCGTGCGCCCCGTGGACGGCTCAATGTCCCAGGTGAGCTCCGACACCAGGCAAGGAGGAGGGGCAGCCACCGCAACGTCCCCCCCACCACACTGCGCCCACCC